ACTACACCCAGGTTAACATGTATGCCTTCCGCCGGGCGGTGGTGGCGAACGCCTTTAATCCCAGCACTCGGGAGGCAGAGGCAGGCGGATCTCTGTGAGTTCGAGGCCAGGCTGGACCGACAGCCTCGAAAACAATACAGAGAAACCCTGTCTCGAAAAACCAAAAAAATAAAAATAAAAAAATAAAAATAAACATGTATGCCTTCCATACAGAAGCAATAAAGGAAAAATCCTAAAGGGAAAAAGAATATCCAAAAAATTATAGAAATCAAGGAAGAGATCAAATGTGTTAGCTGCTTAGTGTACCTATCAATCAGATTGGTGTAATTTATTTTCATTTTTATTTTTTCATGTTTTATTTTCTATTTATTTCCTTACTACAATACTAGTGATTAGATATAGGACCTTGTACACACTAAGCAAGCTCTCTACCGCAAGCTCTATCCATAGCTCCTTGTTCTGTTTTGTTTTGTTTCTTTGTTTTTTGAAGTAAGATTTTTGTCCCTGTCCTGCTGCCCCTCTCTGTATAGACCAGGCTGGCCTTGAATGAGGGATAATGATTCATCCTGCCTCAGTCTCCCCCTCCTGAGTGGTGAAATTACAAATGGGAGCCACTATGCCTGGCTAAAATTACCGCTTTTCAAATATACAGATACAGCATGTGGCTTTGTATCATCTAAATTCATATATGAAAAAAAAAAACCCTGAATGAAGCCACAGTAGTCTCCCAACAGTCCTTGTTTTTGCTGAACATTCTACTTAATTATAAAGCTCATCTTTCTTGGAACCCAGGAGTCTGTCAACACCAGGAACCTCAGGGTGCCAGAGCATAGGTAGGTGGGAAGGATGGTCGTGCTGAGCAGGGGGCCTCCTCCCAGCACCAAACCAGATTGGCCACACTGTGTGCTCAGAAAAAGAAGTGTTGCGTGCGCGCCCACACACACACACACACACGCGCACACACACATGCACACGCGCGCGCACACACACGCACGCACACACACGCACACGCACGCACGCACACACGCACACGCACACACACACGCACATACGCACACACACGCACACAAACACACACGCGCACACACACACACGATGAAGCAGCCCATGGAGCCACTGGAAAGCTATGGTCTACAAATGACTTCTACACCTTGGAACAGAAGCCTCCCTTTCATATCTGGGCCAGGCCCTCAGTGAGCCACACAGGACTGGCACAGGTGGGATGCTAAGGGAACCCAGGCTGGCCACTCCCAACCTCCACTTTCCAACCTGGGGGAAATTGGGTAAGGCTAGCCATAGGAGGATCAGGGCAGCCTGGAAGACTTATTGGGTTCCGCCATGGCGCACCAGCACCTGGAGGGCAATCGGCCTTTGGACCGCTGGATTCTAACCCCTGTCTTCCCACAAGTGGTGTCTTGTGGGGGACATCAGTAGCCTCCCTCCAGTCACCTGCAAATGAACGGTAGCAGGTGACCATGTCGTTTGGATTTAGATCCAAGTGAACACTTGGATGATATAGGGCCCTTGGCATTTTAAGAGTGCAGCCATCTAACCTGTGCTGCCATCATACCTCCCATAGTGACTAGCAGGGCCACAGCTGGTGGCAGATAAAAGGTTAATAGACTTTGTGTCACCATCACTATGTCATGCCCAGGGGATACAGAGATGCCAGGGAGCCTGTGCCCCTGAGCAAACTGAGGAGAGCGTGAATGAGTTCAGTGGGTGAATAGCTGTCTGCTGACTGCTTATGGATACTGAAGCTACAGGCTTCACAGGATGGCTAAATGCAACCTGGATGCCATCTGTAACACTCCTCAACACAAGGCTCTCAACCTCCCTCTCTTCCTTCCCTCCCTCTTTCCTTCTTCATCCTGAAAGTTTCCTGTTGAGTGTTATTCACTCATTCTGAAAACACCCAACCCATTATTCCCAAGTCCATGCTTACAGACCTGTGGAGCCCAGATTTGGTCCCAAAGCACCTGTCTGTCCATGCAGAAAACCTCTAGCATCTTTCTGGAGGGTGTGTTTGCTCCAAACATGGGGGCGGTAGGTAAAAGGTTGGCCCCTTTGCTGTAGAAACCCTCTCTTGTATCAGCTGGTGGTGGTGTACACCTTTAATCCCAGCACTCAGGAGGTAGAGTCAGGTGGATCTCTGTGAGTTCCAGGCCAGCCTGGTATACAATGAGAGTTCCAGGACAGGCTCCAAAAGCTACAGAGAAACCCTTTCTTGGAAAAGAAGAAGAAGAAGAAGAAGAAGAAGAAGAAGAAGAAGAAGAAAGAAAGAAAAGAAACCCTCTCTTGCTGTCTCCCTCCCTCCCTTCCATCTCCATCTTTTCTGGTCTGCCCTCCCCCCCCCCCCTTTCCTTCCTTCTTAAGTGGCTTTCAAGAGGCTCCAGAGTTTTAGTCCCTTGGGCCGTCCCTTGCCAGGAAATTTCCTACAGCTCAGTGTTGGTCATCTTTCTAGTTGAGTACAAAGGCTTTCAATTAAGGTTTTTGAGACTTTAGATCACACACACACACACCTTCTTGATCACTTAGAGGGCACAGGGGACAGCTAATTTTAAACTTCTTGGACTGGGATGGTACAGATTCTAAGGTACACAGAATGTCTCACCCTGAGCCCATGTCCAATCCCAAATTTCTCAGTGTCGAGAGGCCATAGACTTGAGTCTTCCTGCAATCCATGTAAGACAGGGTGGGGGGGTGCAGGGTGACTTTGACTATGTCCCCTGAGTCTAAATGGTGAAAACATAGGGAGAGAAGTACAATGTCTTTCCAGAGTTAGTTGCTATGACAACTTGGGCATTCATTCCACACTTGCCTTCCTCATCCCCAGTTACTGGAAATGTTCCTATTGACTGTATGGTGCCCCACCCTCTCCCACAGTGCCCCAAGAAAATACGCACACATTCATTAGCCAATCCTAAAGGTCCCTCCCACCTCAAACACTCATTGTCTTTTCTTGTTGGCTGTACTGGGGATTGATCCTAAAACCTTGCATGCTAGGTGAGGGCTTTACCATTCAGCTGCCATGGTACCAGCTGGGACTCACTGTTTTTCAACCAGTCTTAAGAAATGTCTAACCTTTTAAAGTACTGCTCCAATTTTCATTCTTTTCAGATTTATACAAGGCTGTTTATCTCAACAATGTATACAATAATTTAAGCGGGGTGTAGTGGTGTATCCCTCTAATGTGGTGGCACTCAGGAGGCAGGAGTAACAAGAGCAGCCTGGTCTACATAGTGAATTCCAGGCCAACGAGGCTACATTGTGAGACTCTGTCTCAAAATAAAGAAATAATTTAGAATTTAAATCATTGAAAAATAACCCCTGGAATGATTTGCTTGCAAGGTTCTGTTTGTTTCTAGTGTTTAAGTAACCATCCTCCCCAAATCCCTTGTGAGATGGCCATTTGTAAACCAATAGCAGAATTGCTTCCAAAAGGGGAAAAAAGAGACAATGATATCAATTGTGCCAAGGGATTCATTTGAATGTTTGTCTTTTATTTTGGAGGTGTGGGGGAAGAAAAAGAATAATAACTGGGGGGAGGGGATTTGGAAGATTCATCAAAAACTTGTTTTTAAGATGAAAAGCATTTTCTCAGAAGAGTGTCTTGCCCCAATAACCACAGACAGCAGAAGTCAGGGAAGTGAGTACCAGTCCCTCTGGGCTCTTGCAGGTTGAAGGACAAAAGCATCCATGTCTCTAGAAAGGTAGACAGAGCAGCCAAACACTAAGCACGTCTCTGCAGCGCCCCCCCTACCCCACGTGGGAGCTCTGTGGGCTTCCTCAGACACTCCTCGAGTTTAGAGGTTGGATTTCCTGAGTGGGCGGAAACAGAACTGAAAGAAGGGGAGCAGGTTAGCTTAAGTAAGAGCCACTGAGAGCTTGAGGCGCTGGGAGTGTGAGGCACCCAAGCTGGAGGTTGGCCATCAGTCCAGGCCTCAGACCCTGCACATTCCCAAGTAGCTAGGGTTAAATCAGAGAGCCCTAAGAGTGGGATCGTGAGCGCTAGAAACAGACCTTTAAACGGGTTCTACTGCACCCAGGTCGCCAGTCTAGGATTTTCAGGCTAACAGAGAGGAAGGCCAGACAGAAAGAAAACATGCCTTGCCCTGCCCCTCCTGTGCACATGGCAGCCTGCGCTTGCAGGGCGGGGGGGGGGCACCTCGGGAGGGAAGAAGTCCTCACTGATAAGCATGTGTCAAAGCATCTGGCAGCATGGCCAGCCAGTCGGGGGCATGGAAAGCCTCCTTCCCTTAAGTCGCTGGAGCTGGGTTTGCCTGTCTCCGCATTCCGGTCCTCCTTTCACCCAAATGCAATTGCAACTGCCTTGCCTTCCAGCCTGTACTGAGCCTGAAGACTTAGGGTTTGATGAGGTTACTGCATGACTGATACAATTGCAGATTTTTACAGCCTCCAAGAGACAGATGTTTGGGCTGATTAAGAATTGAGGAGGAAGCTTGCAGCTGCACCAAGGAATAATGTATTGGACAAATATTTTAATCAAAAAATATGAAGAGATCAGCCCAACCTTCCAAGGTCTTCTGCTTTAAAAAAAAAATCTTTATCAAACCCCTATTCTATGGCTTCAATAAACAGAACCCATTACCTCACGGCATCTTTTGTTGGCCCCATACAAGAGAGAACAAAATGGTTATTCAGGGGAACGCTTTGGATTTTATTGTGAGTAGCCTGCACAAAGAGCTGTGTTATTGTATTTAAAAGAACCATCTGTAGCAGAAACAATGGCATCAAATTATCTTTGAATACCCACTGAAAAACATAAAGCTTGTTTTTTTTTTTATTCTTCTGTACGGTGGGGGACAGAGCAGTGTTAGGATAACTGACTTTTTGTTGTTCTCTGGGTGCATTCTTCCCGCTCCCCCTCTCTCTCCCCCTCACCCTCTCTCTCCTCTCTCTCTCCCTCTCCCTCTCTCTCTCTTTTAAAAAATCAGCCATTTGGGGTTTTAAGCCATAAACGATTTTTCTTGTTGCAGGGGATTGCAGAGGCAAAGCTAGGCTAGGTCTTGGAGGCTGGTGTGAAGCGCGCGGGTAAGGCTGGAAGACACCGGTGGAAGAAAAGCCGAAATGGATTCTCCGTGCCTTGGATGGAGGAAGAGGGGAAGTGCGAGCTCCTTCAACTCGTTCGGTCCGGTGAGGAGTGATCCAGCTTGGGCTGACAAGAGTCTCCGGGAGCCCTCTCGTTCAGTGCTTTTTTTACCTGCCAATCAAACTGCTCCAAGACAACACCCTGATCTGGCATGGACCCGTAAGTAGCTGGCAACCCAACTTTGACATTCAAGGCTAGCTCTGTCTCCCCACCCCCAACACTCACTCACTCACTCACTCACTCATTCACCCACTTTCTTCCCCTCTCTTTCTGACCCCTTTTGTGCATGTGTGACCTTTAAGAGATCTGGCTAAACACCCTGTGTGGCAGTTTTTTTTTTTTTTTTTTTTTTTACACAGGCCGATTTAAGCCTGAAGGTGTTAAGTTTGGGAATTAAATGCTAATTAAGATCTCTTTAACAAATGCAGAATAGAGATGGCACTTTATTCTCTTCTGAGCAGTTAGTTTTAGGTCTGAACGCAATCAAGGTGGCTTGAAAGGGGTGTGTGTGTTTCCTTTTAAGTGAAAACTCAGAAACAGGTCCGTGTGTCCCCATAGATAAATCCAATAATGAAAATTTTCGGGCTTCCATCTTAAAATTGTGAAACTCTAGCATTGCTCGCCTACAAAGAGCCCTGAGCAGACCACTGTGACTTGCCATGAAAGGTACGCTTCCTGAAGGGCTCACTTCAGTCGCCGTCGGGACTGTGGGAGGGGGGCCGGTAATTGGGGTGAGAGGGAGCTTGCATTAAAAAAAAAAAACCATGCAAGGGGCATGGCGAACCCTCGTTCTTTATGCAACTGGAATAGAGGGAGATGGGAACGCAAGGGGGCAGGATCATCAAGAAATATTACCTGAGAGGGAATGACAGGCTGATGAGACAGGGAGCTGGGAGGGCTGAGGAAGGACGGGTAGGGCGGTGGGTTGCTCTCTGGCGCCCTCTAATGACAATAGGACAACGCTGTCTTCGCCATCCCACGCTCGAGAAAGGGTTTTGCCGCAGCCGCAGCGGCGGGGTTTTTGTTGTTGTTTGGTTGGTTTTTTGTTGTTGTTGTTGTTGTTTGTTTGTTTTGTTTTGATTTGTTCTTCTCTGCACGAAGTAGAAGAGATAGGTATTTTTCAGCCCAGAAACTTAGTGCACGTGATTTCGACCCACGTTCTCCCTCCAAGCCGAGGAGAGGGTGCTGGCTGGTGGAGTCGTGCAGTCGGGGATGAGCGGTGCTGGGGGAGGGCCTGCCTGTCTGCCCGAGAAGTGTGGTCGGGAAGGCCAGTGTGTGGATCCTGCATCCGGACACTCGCCCATCACCGCAGTTCAAGCAGGCTCCTGGGGACCTCTGCCACCCAAGCGTGCAGTGGTCAGGGGCCTGTACCTACGCCTCTGCTCCTCTCCCTTCTTTCTCCTCCTCTTCTTTATTTTTCTTCTTTTTTTTTTTATTTAAAATTTTGGTAGCTAAAGGTTAATCTCGGGCTGAATGATAGAGCTATGATTGACAAGAGAAAAGGTGTTGAGGGCAGGTCGCGCGGTCTTATTTACAGCCCACTGCTTGCTGTAGAGCCTTTGTTAGGACTGGAAAACTAATCTAGTGCTGATCAAAGCACCACGGAGTTAGAGGACGGTAATGACTGCTAATTTCATTCCAGCCTCGGGCAACCCCCGCCGCTGTAATTAAAGACACGCTATTTAAATCCAGGTGAAGGGTAGTCTTTTTTTTTTTAAGTTGGGTGGGGGGGTGGGTTACAATTTTATTTAGATTTCTCCTTGTACTATGATAGTTATGTGGTCCAACACCAGGTTTGGTTTTTTTTTTTTTATTAGAATTGCTTTTTGTCATGTATACTTGGCTTTGAGAAATCAACAAGGTAAAAACCGAGTCTGTCACATAACTGCCCCTGTTTAAAGGAAGTAGGGGAAGGAAGCAGTTCAGTAACTGTTTAGCGGGGGATTTAAATATTTGGGTCTCTTTCTCCCCCGTTGGAATGAACAGAAGGGCCTTCGACACAGCTAAAAGTATTTGAAAGTCGGAGCAGGGTTAACAGGCCAGCCAAAAAGATGAGCGTCAGCTTTTAAAGTACTTTCTAAAGGATCGTGTGAACGTATGGAAAATATATTTTTAATTAAATAATTTCCCTACACACACTGTAGCTGTGTATTGGCTCAGAAACCTTATAATTTTAAAACCCATAGGAGTTTCTTTATAACATCAAAGTGCTACATTTTTGTAGTTGGTTAAAACTGATACGCTCTCTACACACCACACCACACACACACACACACACACACCAAAAAGAAAAATTAGCCTTTAATCTCTTTTTATCCGCGAAGACGAAAGCTCTACGCTCGACCCCTCCAGCGGCTGTCACGGTCGGACCAGGCGCAGCTCTATTGAGAAGCGACTCGGCTGTCTCATGCCAGCGCCCCCTATTGGACGCAGTGGGATATGCACAGCGCCCTCCCCGAACCTGCTTTTAGCCCCTTGCCCTGGGGTTAGAGAAAACTTTTTATTGCCCTCAAAGGGGGGCGGGGTAGGGATGAGGAGACAAGTTTTTATACCCTTAAAAGATAACTATAATTCAACAAAAACTAAAGATCTATTCTTTCCAATTCTGTTTCCAAAAAAAAAAAAAATACATTCCTCCTTACACCGCAGTTTCCCCCGCCCTGGTCTGGTTCTAGGTCCTCTTTTAGAGGTTATGCGGCGGTGCCACCGAGAAACAAAATGAAAACTGCTTCTGCCGCTCGCCCGCTTTTCACAAAACAAGACTAAAGCGGAGAGTGCTTCGCTGAAACGCCAACCGCGGTTCAGATCCGAGATCTGGCAAGTAAAGTGCTTGGGGTCTCTAATGAATGAAGCAACTCGCTTACATTTGATTATTAATTCCACAATATAATTAAAAGTCCAGTCTCTCCTTCGAGTATTTGCCTCCCCTGGAACCAATCTCGATAAAACTTTTCCCTCCTGGCAATCGGATAATTCCCAGCTATTGTCTGACAAACAGGTGTCTTACATCTTTTCGACTTTTATCTCAGTGTAGAATTTCGGGGGAGCTTAGTCTGTGATAAATTTTATTGGTCAGGAATCCAAGTTATACTGGAAACAGTTTTTTCATATATACTTCCAAACCTGTTTGTGTTAGAAAGAGTTGTAACTTTTGTCACCGAGTAGGTAAAGGGAGTAGCCTTGTGATCAATTCAGAAAGACTGACCACAAAAAGAACATAGACTCTAGATTCCAACAATGCAGAAAATGTTAGTTTGTTTAGTTTAAAATCAAAAGGAAACCCATTAAGTGCTACTAAAACAAAATGACCGTTTCCTACTTCGAGGACATGTTTGCCGTTTTAACTTTTAACCGTAAGGTTAGAGCTTGCTATCCGAAACTAGCTTAATTTTTTCCTATCAGAATGGCTTTCTGCACATTTAATGCGGTATCTCTGCAAGTCTGCTGTTGAGGATCTGTTTATTCCTCCTGCAGATTAGAGGATCCGAGGTGGTTTTTAAAGGCGTTGCTCCTCGCGATGATATGCCTCTCGTCTGATCCCGGGATCGGATCTCGGAGGAGGGGGGAAAAAGCCAGCTTTTGAGAAGTCCCTACCTACCCGGCAGTCTGGCGAAAAGATAGGCAAACAGGAGCCGCTGCCTTGGCACCCTCAGCCCTTACTCCAAGAAGAGGGTAGGCCTGGTTAGGAAAATCCCAACCTGGGACTAGCCTTGGGATCTCACTCCCACCGAGAAGACTCGGGAACGCTTCTCGGGCGCCCCGGGTCCCAGCCCTTCAGTCATCCCGCCGCGCGCAGCAGCGGAGTAGAGAGACCAAGACAGACCCTGCCTCGGAGGCAGACTGCAAAAGGGGTTGACAACCGCCACTGGGAAGTGTGGAAAAATTGAGAGACCCTTCCCATCGTGAGGACAGAAGACTTAGGCAAAGATTAGCGGGGGCAGGCGTGCGACCCGCGAGTCCCCAACTTCGCAAGGTCGGAGGAGAGTGCACAGCCTGGCTGAGCAAGAAGCAGTTGAGCCAGGGGGTGAGCCAGGCCTGGGCGCGCCATCGATACTGGATTGCATTGTGATTCTGCAGCCGCAGGTGGCCCAGTCCTTGCCCCAATCCCACGCCGCAGGACTGCCAGCGGGGAGGCGGCCCCTCCACCTCTGGAGACTAGGGAGGCGGCCAAAGAGGGGTTGAGAAGGCAGAGCCTCCCCGGGCTGGCAGCCGGCCGGTTCTCCCCAACCGCACTGTACCCTTTAGGGGCGTGGCAGGCGCTGTGGGTCTGTAGTCGCCGCGTCCAGGCTTGAGCCCGGGCGGGTTGGCTGGGCGCCTTGCTTTGTGAAGTAGTGAGTCCTGTGAGCCAGCCAGCCGGGTGGGCCAACTCAGCTTAGGTTCACTGAGCCCAGGCCAAGTCCTCAACCCTTCCTTCCTTTCTCCCCCCCACCCCCTTACCTCCCAAGCTTAGAACGCTGAGAAGCACGGTTTGTGGTTTGGAGTTGGGCAGGCTATTTGGAGATGGGGCGGGGGCAAGACTCATTAATAAGAGCCAGGTTTACTAAGTTTACTCTTCTTGTTCGTTTTTTAAACGCTAGAAAATCTTCAGTTCCTGGAATCCAAGTCCCAGACAAAGAGCCAGGGAGAGATGGGCCAGGATAAAAGGAACAGGGTACAGATAGATGATCATCTCTCAATAAACTGCCAGGCTGTGGCTCCCGGAACCAGGGCCCAGGAGCTACGTGGGATGCTGAAGGGTGTAGATACTACAAGTACAACTTGACACCATTGAGCCCACGGTGCTTGTCAATAGTCTGTGAATTAGGTGTGGAGACTGTCACCATAGATCATAACAGTTTCTGAAGGACTCATTACTGTCCAGCTTGTCAGTGATCTCCAAATTAAGGGGGGGGGTGGTAAGAGGAAAAAGGAGTGGGGACCGCCAACAAAAAGCCAAGAAGGGTAGGAGGAGAGATAAAAGTCGGAGCCCTAGCTCAGAAGGAGTCTTTAAAGATTATCAGGCCAGCGATCTGAGAATTCCACAAGGATGGGTTTGGAAGCCCAGCTCTCCTCTTGAGCCTGGTCTGGAAGGGGATGCTGGAGTGGGCCTCAGGGAAGGCTGACTTCTCAGGCATGGCTTTTGAGGTTAGAAAAGCTTTTGGAAGCGGCCTCCTGGTGTC